GATTATTCAAGAAAGTATTTGATGCTTGACACCTGATAGGGTTATTTTATGGTATTTGTCTGAGGGGATATTTTTATGAAGGTTATTTTTATGAAAGTTTATTATACAAGCATACTCCACAATGATGAGATATTGTCCGTTTTGGGCCTAAGTTCTCACGATTTTGCTTTTGGTCATCACCCAAAAGGCCTCTCTATCATTGAAGTATGTTTATGTTATATAAGTTGTTAGTTTTTGTCTTATTTTATCGATGTGAGACTTGTTTATATCCCAATAACACCAAATTAACACTTTTTTTTTAGCTAGAATACTAAATTGGTAAGAATTTACTAGTTAACTTGACAACAATTACTGTGTCCCATTCATATATTATCTGCTGTGTAATACAATATGTGAATTAATAATAATTTCAATAAAATGTTAAAATATAAGACAATTTGTGCACCAATTAATAATTTCAGGCTTCAAACATTATTAAAATTTCTTTTATTATATTCAACTTTTCATGCGGATTTTGCATATAAATTTGTAAGAATTCACATGAAGAATCAAGAATTTGCTTCCACACCTCCAACATGTCATTGATAATCTTTTAAAATTTTAGAATGTTGGTTATAAGTCTAACTCAACCTACAAAATTAACTTGAAAGGTAAGTATTGCTTTCACTTATATGCTATTTAATTATCTTATCTATAATCGATGTGCGACTTGATACTTTCTTTAAATATTAATTAGATTATGTCTTTAAAAAGAAAATTAATTCAATCATATTGAGCTACAAAATGAGGTTATTATAAATTAGATTAACTCTTAAAATATTTAATATTCTAAAATAATAATTTTTTTGTTATAATTTTACTTTACAAACTATCATTAAATTAAAACTCATTATTATTAATTTATACATTCAATTAAAAATAATTTTTAATTTATTAATATTTTAAATTAAACTAATTTTTATGAAATATATATAAATAATTTAGTAAAATAATATTTTGTTAAGTAAATACTTTTAATTATAAAATTTTATTAATTACCATTCAATTAAAACTCATTATTATTAATTATCTTATTTATAAAAATTTATATATTTAATTTAATTTAGTTTTAAATTAAAATTAATTATAATGATATATTTATAAATAATTTAGTAAAATAATATTTTTAATTAAAAACTTTTAATTATTAAATTTATAAATTTAAACAATTTTTTTATTTTTCCTGCAACTTAAAATTGTTAGGAAATTTGCAAAAAAAGTTACCTACGAAATTTTTTACCATTTATTATAATATCAATAAATATTACCTGCGAATTTATTTTCGTAAGAAATAAAAGAAAATTCTCATCATATTTTTTATGAATTTTTACCGTAAAAAAATAATTTTATGATCAATAAAATATTAAAAAAATTGGTAAAAATTTCTTGTAGATTATTTGTCATAAAAACATTTGTAAGAAATTTCTGCAAATTATTATTTGCCACTAGTGCAAAACAGGCATTTTACGTCTGTATTTTCTCGTCGAACCAAAACATATCCGACGTAAAAATGACGCGGTGGCATTTTTGAAAATAATGTAAACTTTTTTACATCGGACTACATAGGGTCCAACGTAAATTTAACAATCTACGTCGGACATCAGCCAAATGAACTATCAAATGCACCATGATATCAAAAAATGAAGGTAGAAAATACATTTCCAATTGACACAAGATTATGATTGCTTCCATTTTCTAACTCATCTAACTTTACAGGGTCAATTACTTTGTTGCAAATGGCATTGAAGAATAAACACAATCGAGTAATAGCAACTCTAACAGAAGATGGTAAAATGTTACGAATACCCACAGGAAAAAGTTGTTGCATTAAGACATGACAATTGTGAGACTTTAAACCAATTAACTTCAAATCTTGGATAGATACCAGACTCTTAACATTTGAGGAGTACCCTTGTGGAACTTTCACACTGCGTAAGCACTCACAAAAGCTTTTTTTTTCTTTTTTTGATAGAGTATGACAAGCTGGAGGTAAGTAAGTGCGTCTTCCAATAGAATGAGGATGTAACTCAGAACGTATACCCATGTCCACCAAATCTTGTGGTGCTTTCACTCCATCTTTAGTCTTTCCTTTGATGTTTAGCAATGTCCCAATTAAACTATCACAAACATTTTTCTCCACATGCATCACATCTATGCAGTGTCTAACATCTAGCTTGCACCAATAAGGAAGATTAAAGAATATTGATCGTTTCTTCCAGATATTTCTCTCAGTTGACTTCTTTTGCGTCTTTCCGAACACAATGTTAATGTTCTTCACCCGCTGATATACTTCTTCACCATTGCGCGGTGTCGAGGCAATTTCATCCTCCTGACATCCATTGAATGCTTTCTTCAATCTACGGTATGGATGACTACGAACAAGAAACTTACGATGCCTAGTGTACGCAGTCTTTTGCCCATGTTTCAATTGGGTATAACTTGTGTTTTCTTCACATATAGGACATGCATAATGACCCTTCACACTATACCCACTCAAGTTACCATATGCTGGAAAATCATTTATTGTGCAAAATAACATTGCACGCAAAGTAAATTTTTCTTCACGATATGCATCAAAGACCTCCACTCCTGTCTCCCACAACATTTTCAAGTCATCAATCAATGGACTAAGATACACATCTATGTCATTTCCTGGTTGTCGGGGTCCTGATATCATCATAGACAACATAATATATTTTCTCTTCATGCATAGCCAAGGAGGCAAATTGTAAATGACCAACAAAACTGGCCATGAACTGTGTTTACTACTTAAGTTCCCATAAGGATTCATGCCATCTGTAGCTAGACCAATTCTCAAGTTTCTTGACTCTACACCAAATTCTGGAAATGTTTCATCAATCCTCTTCCATTGCAGAGAATCAGTTGGATGTCGAAGAAAATTGTCACATTTTATACCATTTTCATGCCATGTGAGGTTTTTTGCATCCTCTTTAATGGCAAACAAGCTTTTAAACCTAGGTATTATTGACAAATTCCATAAGACCTTAGTAGGGGGACCCTTTATTTCTTCCTCACCACTACTTCCATCAGTTTTCTTTTTGAACCGTGACAATCCACATGTCGGACACACTTTCAGTGTAGCAAAATTATTTGTATACAATACGCAATCATTAGGGCAGGCGTGTATCTTCTTATACTCCAAACCCATTGGACATAACATCTTTTTTTTTTTCTCATAGTTGCGATTAGGTAACATGTTATCTTTTGGAAGCATCTCCTTCAACAACGCCAACAATTCTGTGAAACTTTTATCAGTCCAGCCATTTCTTGCTTTTAAACTAAACAATCTTAAAGTTGCTAATAATCTTGTAAACATACTGCATCCTGGGTACAATGGTTGCTCAAAATCAGACTTTAAGGTATCATACACATGTGCTCTTTCAAAATTTTCTTCACCAACATCACGTATCATCTCTTCTAAATTATCGTCCATCCCTTCAAAATTTTCAGTTGTTGACACCGTTGGAATGTCTAATATTTCTCCGTGCCATGTCCATATTGTATAACTCTTCACAATACCAAATATAAATAGGTGATCACATATTTCCCCAACTTCCTGACGTAACTGATTCAAACAACGAACACATGGACAATAATATGCCCCTTTGATGGTTTCCCATTTTCTCTTGCAAATTGCAAGAACTCTTCAACTCCATTTCTGTACTCCTGACTAATGCGACTTGCATTCATCCAACTTCGATTCATTATCTATATATTAACACAAATTAACTATTCACTCAGTTATTCATAATTTTTCTAACCTAAACTACAACCCTAAAAAATCGATAGTAATTTCGGATAAAATTCATAAATATTTCTACTAATACGATGATAAACTAAAGGTCAATGCCTAAAAAGTCCTTCTTTAATGCATCTGGAACGGCCCGTTCTGAAACCAGAACAGGTCATTCCAGATACACAATTAACAAAAATTTTATGTGTCTGGAACGGCCCGTTCCAAAATCATAACAGCTCATTCCAGCTGCAAAACTTTTGTGTTAATTTTTAACTGAAATGGCCCGTTCTGGTTTCGAAACGGCCCGTTCCAGATCAACCCATTAACAAACAAAAAATTTCAAATAGAACGGCCCGTTCTGGTTGCAGAACGGGCCTTTCCAGATGAACATATAACAGAAAATAAACAAAATAATGCATAGAAGAAAGTTACCTCAAATGTGGAATGTGCAGATTCTTAGAGGACTTAGACAAACGAGAAATGTGAGCAAACAAACGAACTTAGAGACTTAGAGTAGAAGAACTTAGTGATGCTTTCGTAAACAAAGGGGAGCGCGGGAATGAGAATGAAACGTTGAGACATTATAGTGGCTAATTTACGTCGGACAAGGGGGGTCCGACGTAAATTATACAATCTACGTCGGCCACATGACTCCTCCGACGTAGATTGTCTAATTTATGTCGGACCCCCCACTGTTCGACGTAAATTAGTCACTTATTATTTATGAAAATGCCACTGCGTATTTATAACGTCGTATTTTTGTTTTTTTGACGTAAATTAGGTGACGTAGTAACCTATTTTTGCACTAGTGAAGTCATTCCAAAATAAATCCAACTAAAATTTTATCAAGTATATGTCACTAGTTTGACTTTTCTTGAGTTCATTGTGTACTACATCTTCAGTGCCGGTTGGCCACACTTGCAGAAGGAAATGCTTTATATCATGTTAAACTTTTATATGATAAGGTTGGGTGAAAATCTTGTGTCTCACCGCATTAGAAAGATAATTAAATTAACATACAAAATTTGAAAACGTAATCAGTCACTTACTTGTCTCATGTAGTGTGTGTTTGAAATTTACAAATTAAGATTAGTAATGCCATGTGTAATTTGAACATAAAAAATGCAGAAGCACAACAGAGTCTGCCTTAAAATAGTTGCAGTAAAATTGATGTATTTACATAGTTTTGTATTTTTGGACACAGAAAAAGGAAGTTTACGTACCTGGAAGCAGAAGAGAAAGGTCGGCCAGCTTAAATGTCGACGAATAGTGATGATATTGAAAAGAATTACTCTGGAGTAGAGGAGCCTTCAACTTCAAGAAACGAGATTGATGAAAGTGAAACACAAAACTCGGAACCCACCGATGATATTGAAAAGAATTACTCTGGAGTAGAGGAGCCTTCAACTTCAAGTAACGAGATTGATGAAAGTGAAACACAAAACTCGGAACCCACCGATGAAATTCAAGGACGTGATCTGTGTTTGTCAAAGAAAACAAGCGATTTAATAAAACATCATAAACCAATACCGGATGAGTGTGTATTGCAGAAGAGCCCATTGGGAAACACCGTGTTGCATGTTGCAGCTCGGTATCAAAATGACGACTTGGTGGAGAAAATAACTAAAAATGCATCACACCTTTTGCATGCTAAAAATAAGAACGGTGATACAGCACTACATGTTGCTGCAAGATATGGGCACGTCTCTACACTAAGGAAGTTGTTCGATGCATGTCTCTCGAATTTACCATTTCCATATTCTGAAAATCCCAAAGAGGCCGTCGAAGAAACCCTGGTGAGGAACAAGCAAGGAAACACATTCTTTCACGAGGCACTATTGAATGGTCATGCTCCCAAAGATGTAAGGAGTATGCTACGTTCCAAAGAAACATCGATTCGGGTTGGCTTCACGGAGTTGGTTGAGCGAGTTGCGTTGTTTCGCACAAACAATGATGGCCAATGTGTTTTGTACTTGGCAATTGAGGGAGGCTACAAGGAATTTGTTATGAATGCATTGGAGAAATTGAGATCCCAACACTCTGCATTGGATGAGTTGATTCAGAATCACCAAGAGTTGGTTGAAATTATTTCCAAAGACATTGAACCAGCTGCACCACCACCTCTTCCACCACAGTTTAGAGGTACACATAATCACATATATATTGTTGCTACATATAACTTCAAATTTCCTCGTATTGTTTCTTGCTACACTATGTTAATTTCCATTCTAATCATTTCACTGTCATTTTGGTCGGGGGCATCAAATATTCGAATGAACAACATATTCATGTTATTAAATCAAGACAACAACAATACTTATAATTAGCCGTAAAATCCATTCTAATCTATTAATAAGTAAATAATTATTCAACTATTTTCTTACACGTATGAGATTTGATTATTAGATTCTTGATTTTTTTTTAATATTAAGTAATCCAACGTAAACACACGAACATGGTACAACAATTATATCTTTGTATTTTTTCTATGGGTACAGAAAATGAGGATAGTTTATAAACTTTCTCAATCTTAGTGATAATATCTTGTGCACCTCACTTTAGTAGGAGACATTTTTCTATGATGCCAATTGATTTTAACCCCGAATTTTACTGTTGGTTTATTTATATATCAATGTATACAGATCATGCTCTAAAATAATTCTTACATCATCAAATATGATATATAGGTGCTAGAGCATAGAAAGAAATCGGTGTAAGCCATTGCTCGGAAAAAGAATGCTTAATACCATTAAGAATTTGAGTATTTACAAAGAGGGAGAAACTCTAAGAAAATGAAAGAAAATACTTTCTCTATAAATTCCAATAATTCCTTTTAAAGAGAATTTATAGAAACAATTCTATAATGAGATTGTTTTTAACCATTTTTCTTCAACAATAACACTTTTATGGATTTTTCTTTCCGTTTTTTTTTTTTGTCTCTTTCAATTTTTCATTGTGTTATTTCTAAATTAAATTTCAATATTTTCTTAAAATAAAATTATAAATAGTTAAAAATAAATTTATGATGTAAATTATTTATCATTTATCTTAAAAATAATTTATTTGATAAAAAATATTTTTCTATAAATTATAATGTAATATAATATATATTTAAATTATTTATTTATTATAACTTTTAGTTACATAAATTAAATATCTATCATGTACATTACATACTAAAATAATTGTTAATTTATGTATAGAAAGAGAAAAAAAATAAAGATAAATCATTCTCATTAGACTTTAATCTACATATCAAAATTTATAAAGGCCGGGATAAAACCAGACAAACTTTTTTAGATATTTTTCAAATTTTGATATTTGTGGTTTAGTGAATTAAGGTTTTATCTAGAGAACTTATGCTAATTTTTAATTTACACTTTATATTTAAATTTTAAATATAATATATATGATATAAAATACTATCGTATTTTACCATGATTTCCAATGCTGATCTTTCACAAAAAATGTATAATAAATTAATATAATATTTTCTATTCAGTATATTATATTTTATATATGTATAATAAATATAATAATGTGCATAAAATTTGTATTCACTACATTATCTTATATATTTATAATAATTTTGATATTTAAATTTTAAAAATATTATTAATTAGCATTTTATAAAATAAATAAATATTACTCAAATATATTGTTTAAAAATTTGAATAGTATATTAAATATAATAATTTTATTAATATTATATTGTGTTAAAAAATCGTATCATTTATTTAAGACATGTTATAAAAACATTTAAATTTATTATTTAATGCTAATTGTTTCATTGACTTTTTAGTTAATTTCTATACAAATTTCGGAATTTAGAAAATGAAATAATGTATAAAATCCATGAAAGAATAATAGATAAAATTAATATATTCTAATAATTTGAAAAAGAATTTTTTTTAAAAAAAATATTATAAATTATTTTACAAATATTATAAAATTATGTTAAAATGGTAATCTTGTGTCATAGTCCCTAGCTAACTTTTTTTTTTCTTTTTAATATATTTAAAGTTTAAATATATTTTTAGTCTTTTAATTTGTTTTTGGTATAATTTTTTATTTTTCATTTTTCTAAAATTAGAGCTATTGTTTATAGTTCCTATTTTTATGTAATCATCTTAACTATTTTTTATTTATTAAAAGGTTTTGGTATAATTTTTTTCTTTATTTTTCATTTCTCTAAAACTAGAACTATTGTTTTTAGTTTATATTTTTATGTAATCATTTTTAACCACTTTTTATTTATTAAAAAGTTATTTGGTCATACTAGATTTACCTAACACCAGTATATCGATATTTGACACATCTAAAACAATTTATATATTCTTAAAGTAGAAATTATTTTATTTACCTTAAAATGATGATTAGGGCTAAAAATAATAAATTTAGATTTTAGAAAGATAAAAATAAAAAAATATATATTTTATACAATCAAAACCAAAATTTACTCATTTTACGAAAACAAAAATTATGTTTACAAATTTTAGAAGGATGAAAAATAAAAAAAGAATCAACAAGGAATAAAATCAAAACTCATTCATTTTATGTGAATTAAAAATATATTTAAATTTATATATAAATTACCATAAAAATAATTTAATTAATTATGTAAAATTTATAAAGAAAAAATTAACAAAAATTAATACATGAAAATTATCATGTTAATTGATATCCAAAAGAAAAGATAGATAAATATAAGGATAATAGATAAAATGATGTGACCAAAAGAGAGAACAAAATTCTAAGTGTTAATGTAGTGTTTATGATGTTGAGGTATCCATATCTATTTATCCAAAATTATTTCTGTAACACCCCAGTTTTCATACTTTTTATGGAGGGTAATTTAGTAATTTTTTTATAAGATTAATTTAGGGTGTTTTAGTAGCCCAGAATAGACCGTTCCCAAATTAGAACGGGTAGTTCCAAGCTATTAAAAAGTTTGATATTTAGTAGTTTAGAAAAGGTTGTTCCAAACCACAAAATTGGCCTATAACCCTAGTTGGTAACGGGTCGTTCCAAAGTTAGGAACGGGCCATTCCAGATATGATCGTTGTGTGTTAAAACGCAACCCTAGAACGGGTCGTTCTGGTTTTAGAACGGGCCATTCCGCATGCCAAATTTACACATGCTGAAAGGATCCAGAACGGGCGGTTCAAGATTTGAAACGGGTCGTTCTAGCCACTCCTGAAATCTATAAATAGAGCACTCTGACACTATTTATAGACAAACTCTCTAAAGATCAAGGAGAACCAAGAGAAGGAGATCAACCAGATTCTACTCTAGTTTCGTCTTCTGCATATCCAAGTAAAGGGGGAGTGAGAAACCTCGCTCGAGGGTGTGGGAATAATTTTTGGGTAGTAGGATTGGCCCCCAATCCCTTGCCTAATGCATGCTTTTAGGAACAAGCAAAATATGAATGTTTTATGTTTTGTCTTCTGATTGTTCTGTTGTGTTCCATGTTGGATGTAATGTGTGAATATGTAATTAATTTTGAGAATAAATATGTTTTGATATGAATTATAGTACTCTGTGGATTCTTGATAGAACCCTATGAGAAACAAGACAAATATGCATGTTTTCTATTTTGCTTTCTGAATGTTTTGTTACGTTTCTTGTGTGATGTAGAGTGTAAATATGTATTTGATTTCAAAATTATATATGTTTTGATATAAATTAGAGTGCTCTGTGGGTTCCTATGTGAAACCCTATGAGGAACAATTATGAGTATGACTATGTGAAATATGAATAAATGACATGAAACATGATGTGAATGAGAATGTGCTAATGTGAACACTATGACTATGAGGATGTGAAATGTGATGAGATGAGATAAGCTATGACTATGAGAATGCGAAATGTGATAAGACATGAAATTCCGTCTACGAGTTTGTGAATGTGTGACATGCATCATGTGCATATATGAACTAACAAGGTGTACCATAGGGTCACCAACGATGTAACAAGCTAACAAGGTGTACCTTAGGATCACTCATGATGTAACAAGGTGCACCTTAGGGTCACCAACCATGTAACAAGCTAACAAGGTGTACCTTAGGGTCGTCACTCATGATGTAACAAGGTAAGTCTTCTTATGGTCCTCTAAAGTTCTAATCCATTCCATTATCTCGAATTATGTTTCATAAGTTTAATCTTCTTAATCATTCTCATTTTATTCAATTAAACACTCAATTACACTTGATAAGTTCACCATTTAATCCTCTCTCAAAATCCTAATCTATCACAAACTGTATTCAATCCAATACCATAGTTAAATCATTCATATATCAATTATCAAAACATAATCCAAGATAATAGAACTTCACAAAATTCAATCAATTAAATCAAACAAGTATTCAAATAAATTATTCATGGTCATCACTTTATGAACCCCAATTATCAAAACTCAAAACATTCCAATAAAATAACACAACTAGTTCAATCTACCAATACAATAGTTAAGGTATGCTTTCGGCTATTCACAACCCATTCAGCAAAATCACATAAATAAAAAAAATCATATGCCAATCAATAGAATCTAGGCCCAACTCCTTTATCCACATAGTTTCTACACCCATGAGTGAGATAACTCACTCTATCACAGCCCAAATACACACCAGAATGAGTGAGTCCCAAAGATTTGTACAGATGTGAAACTATTCAGTTGAGAATAATTTAAAACAATTACTTAGTGATACATATACCAACAAGATGCATCTACTTTTAGATAGTTCATCACTTAAGAAGTTCATAGTTATGCGTGCTTAACTTGGAGCGATTTAGGGATGGATGACCATCTAGAAAGTTTACCAGAAAGTGTGAGTGATGAGAAAACACACTAAAATGTCTTGTGTTGGTTTGTGGGATAGTTGATGATCTTAAAGGAGGTTGGACATCTCAAAAAAGGTCTACTCACAAAGAGTTCTAATCGATGAAGGGTTCTAACTAATGAGAAGTTGTGTGAAGTGTCATCATGTGAAGTTTCGTGAAATACAATTGTTGAGGCATTAATTCTAAGAAGTTTATAGATTCCCCTTTACCTGGAAATAAAAAAATCCAAAAGTAAAGGTGTCAGTGAGCATTGGCCTCCTCAAAGTTCTTCTCTGGGATCATAGTATTGAGAGATAATAGGATTCAAACACGACAAAATAGAAAGGAATGAATTAGATTTAACTTAAAAGACTCATTTTTAAAAAGAGAGCATATTAAGCTTACAAGGACAAAAGCTTAATGTTTTTAAAAAAAATTCTATTTATTAAAACCTTTTTTATTTTCTAAAGAGCCTTTTAATTATGAAACGTATTTAAGAACTCCTTAAAATCCCAAAACATCTTATTTGACTTAAATCTTTTTGTTTTATTTTTAATTATGATAAACTAAGGTGTTACAATTTTTTTAATACACCATTTTGTTAGTGTCATTATAATGCACACCGGTGCCTTGTTGGTGGTGTGTCTCACCTTTTTGATAATGTCATTTTGACCGTAATTTTATGATCTGTGCACCATT